CAGAAAAGGCTTCTGGTTTGCTTTCTTTTTCTCAACAAGAACTAGTTGCACTTATAAAATGTTTTTGAATTTTTCCATAACTTTGCTGTGAAAGTCTTAGACATATTTCTCAAGAAAATAAGTGTTTTACTACAAATAATAAACTGAACTGACCATTCTTTTTAAATTTTTATTATCATCTTTAAGTAGTTGAACAAAGGAGTTGCCATTTAACAGAGTTGATCTTGAGCAATGTTACCCCTCTCAACATTTTCACCCATCCTTCCACTACCCATCCCTTTCCTCCCATTTCTTAAATTTGTAAGAAACTGAATTCTTGTCTACATTTCCCCCTCTTCTCTTTATTCATCTACCACTTTCCTGTTGGCTCCGCCCTACTCCTTTCAAGTTTCTGCTTTTTGGTGTTTTGTTTCGCTGAACTTTAATTTTGGCTCTCTAAGGATTTACATGATTTGAGATCACTCTTGAATCTACCATATTTCAGTGAGAACATTTGCACGCACTTGCATGCCACTCAACATATTTACTTATAAGTCCATAAACTAAATCTAGTTTTGATATATAAGGGGAAACATGCATCCTTTTTCTCTCTGTGCCTTACCTACTTCACTTTACATAATTTTTTCAAGTCTTTCCACTTCTTTACAAATGATGCAATATTATTACTTATGGAAGAGAAGATGGACTGATAATTCTAAATTAAGAGTTAGCTTATTTTTTTCTTCCAAAGTACTGCCAATAATTTCTAGTCCAGTAAGATTCCTATAATTAATAATGACAAGTACAATTTCTGTCTTGCAGCAGCTACATTAGGCATTAGGCATCGTTTGAATGAAGCACTTCAGATATCATTCAACTATGTATGTCTATTTGAATGCCAAAGAATAGCTTATCCTTGAGATTTAGCTCCTTGTATTCCAAATTAGTTTGGTACTTTCTAAATTAAGTAAAATCTTTGTATATCAGAATCTTTGTATATTCCATTTAGATGGTATTCTAATTTCTTATGCTGGTGACCTGTTTGATTGATGCTGAGATTGTGTTCAAAATTGGATTCTGATTCATGCCTGGAAACTTTACCACCTAAATCAATCCTCTGAAAGCCCTAAAGCCAAAGTGATTGTCAAGCTACATTCCTTAGATATCAGCAGATTATGCTACCAAATCCTGACATGCATTGGAAGACAATGCTTTATCATCTGGAATAATTAGATCTCAGAAAAGCTCAGAGAACTCTTGGCTTCCTCAAATACTTTTCACCTATTTTGCCAACATTAATAAAAGTAAAAATCTGTATTCTATATCAGTAGTCTAGCAGGAATGCAGAAAGGGAATTCAAGGGAATGTGGAAAGTGATCATAAAGAATGTAGTTCTAGGATCTATGCACAGGAAAATGCACACTCGATGTGAGCCTTTTGGCTAGAAGTATATAGCAACACAATCCAAATGTATTAGTAAATTCCAAAGACAGTAAAAATGTCTCTCTTTTGTATTGAATGTGGCTTGAAATAAACTGGCCACCATCCAGGGGTGTGGACATCCTTTTTGCTATGAACCTTTCCATTCCAATGACATATTTTATAATGGGATTTGACATATAATACAAACATAGTTCCTAAAGCATGTAATATCTATCTCAAGGACTAACTATATTAAAATTAATACAGCTTATTTCCTCCATTTTAAATCTATGTATTGTCCTACCAATTGTTACCAACTGGTTTTCTAATGTTAATGATCTTTATAGGATGATTGGATAATACCAATTTATATTTTTGGTGCCGGGGGTCATTTTCACTAGAATGTAGTAGATTGCTCAAAAAGACATGGTTGGCTAATAAAAGTTAGATGTCCATTTGTAAGATTTGTCAATATTTTTTGAATGCACAGAATAATGTGTTAGAAATTTGAAAATTCTGTTTATCACATTTGAGAAAAATAGGGTAGTTGAACTTAGGACTTTCATATTCTGAAGTCTGAACTCAATTTCAGATACTTTGATGAGGTAATATACTTACTCGTAAATTGTTGAAATGACATTAAAACAATGCTATCTATTCACAATTTGTGAATAGAATCATACTGAAATGTGCATACTTTTTACATAATCCATAACTCGAATAGGCAAATAGTTTTATAGGCAAACTAAAGATAAGACTTTCTTTAAGTGACTGAGAATATAGCTTTACTTTCCTTGTAGTACAATTCTACCTAAGAGAAATTGAGCAGAGGGCTAGCTATACTGATTGCAAAACTGTATCTTTGGGCTTTAAGATAACAGTTAAAATTCCAGGAGAAGTGTTCATACCTTTACGCTTCTTTTGTAGGTAGGAATTTTATAGGTAGAAATTCATATACTTTCGTGTGTGTGTGTGTGTGTGTGTGTGTGTGTGTGTGTGTGTGTATTGATGTGACTAAAGCTGAGCATTTGGTTTTTAAACCTTTGGAAATGGTTTGCACGAAGAATTTGGAGGAGCTTGGAGAGGTGGCCAGAGTTACTGCTGTAAGCAGAGAGTAGTGGGTGTTTCTAGTGGGTATTAAACAAGAGCATGATGAGGATAGAAATGTGGAGAGTAAAGAGTAGGCTTAAAAGATTTCAGATAGGCCTAAGGATTCTTGGCAACTGGAAGAGTGATCATCCATGTTACCTACTGGCAAAAAGTTTATCTACAATTTACATGTTCTGAGATTTTGTGAAAGGTTGAGTTTAAAGTGACAGAATAACAATCTGGTATAGGAGATTTCAAGGCAGCCCAGCCACCAGCCTGTAGCATGGTTATTGCTCTCTCTTTCTGGCGAGGCTTACAGTGGGAATTCGGAGCAAAGAAAAGACTTTTGACAGAAACTCTTTTGAATAATTTGAAGTTTGTCAGATAGATCCAAGTAAAGTTGAGTCTAAGAAAGTCATTATTTTCTAAAGAGATTGGCAACATTAAAAAGAAGCCAAGCATTTTTTGAGGACTCTGCACACTGCTTTCCAGAGTGGTTGAACAAGCTTAAATTCCCATCAACAGTGTAAGAGAGATTCTTTTGGCTCCATCTCACCAACGTTTGTTACTGGTTTTCTTGATAATGGCCATTCTAACTGGTATGAGGAAGAATCTCAGCATTGTTTTTATTTGCAATTCCCTTTGACCAGAGATGTTGAACATTCTTCATTTTCACTTGTTCTTCTGAAAAGTACCTTTATATTGACTATAGCACTAAATATATTTGTCAATATATTTTTCACAATTCTCATTCTCTTAGAATTAATTCTTCAATGTAGAACTTTACTTCTGGGATATTCACATTTAATTTATTTTTAATTATGTAATTTACCTAAAAATCCAATCGATGTATACCACTTTGAAGTATAAAGTTAATGAGTTTTGATAAATGTGTTCAGACAAACATACTCATGTAACTCCCATTAAACAAGATACAGGTTATATTATATACAAAGTTGATTTGTGAGCATTTATAGTCAACTCCAACCTCACCATTAGTCTTAGAAAATCACTTGCTCAAAAAAAAAAGAAAAAGAAAAGAAAATCACTTGTTCATCAATGTTGATTTGAGTTTCTTTGTTCCAATATTCATAGGAATGGAGTCCTATAATATGAGCCATTTTGTGTCCAGCTTCTTTCATTCAGCATGATTTTTGTATTAATCTACATTATTGTATTTATCTGTAGCTCATTCTTCTCATAATGAACAATGTTCCATAGTATGGCATTTACCTGGTCATAAAAATTTGAGTCAGTTCCAGCTTAGACGATGATGAATAAAGATGTCTTTGTTTACATGAAAGTATTTGTAAGAAGTTTTATTTCTCTTGGGTAGATATATTAGAATGTAATTACTGAGTTGGGTTATAAATATGCCTTTATATAAACCTGCCTGATTGTTTTCTTTTTTTATTGTGAGAATACCATACAGAGGAGTTACAATTACATGGGCAAGATAACAAGTACATTTCTTATCAAGCATTGTTGCCTCCTCATTGTTTCCCCAGCCTGATTGTTTTCTAAAGTGAATTTTCCATTTTGTATACCTACAGGGAATGTGGGAATTTATATTTCTTATGTCCTTATCAATACTTGCTTTTGTCAGTCTCCTATGTTTTAGATACTTTTTGAGATGCATCATATAGTATTTCATTGTGCTTTGCACTTGTATTTTTCTGATAAATAGTATTGTTTAATCCATTCTCATGTGCTTATTTGTCATTTTTATGTCTTCTTTTGGCATGTCTATTCTGATTTTTCCTCTTTCTAACTGAGACATTTCTATCCCTATATTGTAATTATTACATATTCTGAGTACAACTTCCATGAAAAATATACATGCTGTAAATGTTTACACCCAGTCTATAACTTTTCTTTTCATTTAAAAATATCACATCTTTTACAAACTGAAAGGGTTTTTTAGTGTTGAGTTTATAAAATTTTTAACGGATCAGGATTTTTGCATTCTGTTTAGGAAGTCATTTACTATTTCAAAGTTATGAAGACTTTTTCTTCTAGCAGTTTTATATTTTTAGTTTTTGTGTTTAAGTTTCTGATCCATTTTGAAATATTTTTTACATGTGTGTAAATTTTATCTATAGTACAGGCTTTAAAAAAAAAGACTTTCCAGTACTGTTTTCTTTAAAAGATTGTCTTTCCCTACTACATTGCTTTAGCATATATGTTGAAGATCAATTGTCCAATTGGTCATACTGTTGTATTTTATTAACCTACATGTAAACATTTTTCATTAATTATTTTGTGGTTTTTTAATAGTTTGCAAAAGGATTTCAATCCAACATCTCAATTGCTGTGTACAATGCATCTTAATCAGTGAAACCAATCCATCACTCACCCCTCATCTCTCCCATCCCCACCTGTTTTCTCAAGTTTCCTAGTTCAGTTTTAACATATGTATTACATATCTGCCTCAGAGAAGGCATGATCAGTTTCTTAGTATTTATTTTGTTGTCTGTTAATTGTACAATGAGATTGCAGCATGGAAAACCAGAATGCATTGTTTAAACACCACAAAATGGTTGGCAGCGCATTAAGCATATACACATTATCAGTACCAAGGGTTTTGTCCATCCTTGCCAAAAGGAGTGAAAGCTGCTCTCTTCTGTACAACACTACATGTTCACTATGCCAGTCATCAACTATCTTACTTGTTCTTGTCCTGACGTAAGTTTAGAAGTAGTGTGAGCTTTCAACTCTCGAGTTATTTTTTTCAACTTTGTTTTAATAATTGCAAGACCATTGCACAAATATAAATATTTGAAGTCATTTGTGCTGTCTTCTAAAATTGCTGCCCATTTGAATTGGTCTAAGATGAGTAAGTGTCAATTTGGGGAAAATTTGCATGGCAGCAATACCGAGTCTTCCAATCCATCAGAACATTTCTCCAAATTTTAAAGTTCTACTTGAGTTTTCCTAGAAATAGTTTTAACACTACAATGTTATCATCTTACATACATTTTTATATTTACCTATAAATGTTCCATATTTTAGGGCTAATAAAAAATGAAAATTTTGACATTTTATTTTCAAATTGTTTATACTTAGTATATGAAAATGTGATTGAATTTTGTATATTAATATCACATTAAAGAATTTTCTAAATTCCCTTTTTCAGTAATGATCTATTTCTTAGTATTTTTATAGATATAATCATATATTCTGAAAATTTTTTAAAATCCTATTTTTCAGTCTGTATGTTTCTTGTTTTATTTGCTTGTCATTTTCCACAGGTCATGATATTTAATAAAATGACAAATAGAAATTATAAAATTGAACAGCCTTGCCTTATTTCTTCTTTTTTGGCAGAACTGGGCTTTGAACTCAGGACCTTGTGCTTACTAAACAAGTGTTTTACCACTTGAACGATGCTCCCAGTCATCTCTATTTTCATTATACTTTGAATTAAGTCATTTTTCCTCATGGTAGCCTGAACCAGGGTTCATTTTGTACCTGTTAACATAAGGTCTTGTGACTTTTCAAACAGAATGGCCTTGAGCTATAATCCTCTTACTCGCTGCCTCCTGAATAACTAGGATTAAAGACATGAGCCACTCCATCTAGTTGCCTTCTTTCTAATCTCATAAATCAGTCCTTCAGGAATTGTGTTGCTTATAAATTTTCATAGATGCCATTACCAGTTTGAAGAGTTTCCATACATTTCGTTTGACAAATAACTGTTTTGAATGATGTTAAACTTAGTCAAATATTTTTTCTTCATTTGTTAAAACAATCATATTGTTTTATTCCACATATTGTTTATTTCAATAATATAGTGTATTACACTAAGAGATTTTTTTGAATGTCAAAACAACCTTTTATTGCTGAGACAGATCCTACATGGCCATAGCAAATTGTCTTCAGACATAACTGAATCCAATTTGCAAAAATTCTCATACAATGAATTTGTCAATTTCATACCACTTTTTCCCCTAAAGACAACATGCTAAGACATGGAACAAAATGGTGGACTATACAAGTTTTGGGGGACTATTATCTCTCCAGATAGTACCTTTAGCATCTTGGTCACGATCTCTTCTCAGAAGCCTAAGTTCCATAAATATATATATATATAATTGTTATTGTAAAGGTGTACAGAAGGGTTACAGTTATGTAAGTCAGGCAATGTGTACTCTTCCATCAGAAAGAACAATATTGTACCATTAGGAAGAAAATGAAAAATCTTGAGGAAAAAATGTATTAAGCAAAGTAAGCCAGACCCCAAAGAACACTGCTTCCCTCATTTGTGGTAACAAGAAGGTGCTTATAAACCTACAAGTGAGCACACTAGATGGTAAAAGAAACTGCACTAACACATGATAAATTATACGGGTCCTTAGACATTCACACAGTAAGACCAAAGTCCCTTCTTCATTATCCCAAATTTTTCCTTTTAGTTTCCCAGCTTGGAGGTCTGTTTGCTATAATCATGATCTCTGGGTTACCTCTGAGTTGCTTTTCTGCTTTTCCAGTTTTTCAACTGTTCTCTGACTGATATCCTGAATTCAAGTTTATCTACTATGGTTACTCTGTTCTTGACAGAATCTACCTGAAATGGCCATTTGCTGAAAGACAACAGGTCAACCTATGTCTTGTGCTGAGGAAAATGATGACAACTTGGAGTGAGTCCTTTGATGAGGTAGAGTTAAAACTGATAGATGATGCAAAAGTGGGTATTACACTGAACTCTACAAATTCTCAGTAGCAGCATTTGTGTAATTTCTGGTGGCCAAGTTGTAAGAGGCCAAGATAGGTCAAATATGTGAGATGATTAGAGGTTGCTGAGTGCATGAAGCAAGGTTATCGAAAATGCTGCCAGAAAAGTTTTTCATCAGAAAAGCACTTTGAATAAAATCCAGGACACAATAAAACTTTTTGTTTCCCCAGAGAAATTTAACTGCATAAGCATATAAGTAGACAATGAGAATAAAGCTATTTTATACAAGGGTTTAGAAGTAATAGGACTACCCTGTTCTTTCAAATTGGTCTCAAGTCTCGATGTAATGGTAAGTCATTATCATATGATCAAATATTTTTTGAGTCATCATTTGGATTCTGTTTAGGTTACATTTAGTTAATAAAGAAATAAATAGCTGAACTCTGCCTTGCCTTTCCTATCGCATTCCTTGTGCCAAATACTCAAGGCTCAGGGAGGGCCCCTGCAGCACAAAATCTTGCAGATTCCCAGAATAAGCACTGACTCTGTAATCTCTCATGAAATGACACTCCAGAGAACTACCTTACCCGAGCTGACAGCCTCCCTTACTATTTGCTATTGCAAAATATGACTGAGGGTAATTCATACTCCTGTTGTACGTAATTATGGATTTTTTAAATGGTTTTCCACAAAAAGGTGATAGACACCCTATTCATCAGAGTTCCTTTAAGTCGAATCACTTTCATATGTAGAAATTGTCAGTTAGGGGGGCTGGGAAGGTGGCTCAGTGGTAGAGCGCTTGCCTTGCATGCCTGAGGCCCTGGGTTCGATTCCTCAGCACCACATAAGCTAAAAAAAAAAAGCCGGAAGTAGTGCTGTGGCTCAAGTGGTAGAGCGCTAGCCTTGAGCTGAAGAGCTGAAGGACAGTGCTCAGGCCCAGAGTTCAGGCCCCACGACCGGACCAAAAAAAAAAGAAATTGTCAGTTAGGATACAGCCCCTCTAATACAAACACTAATCCTTCAGAGATTGGCTCCTCCCTTCTTCCCTGCCAAGTTTGTTTCTTCCTTTGACATCTTTTAGCACTTATATATTTCAAATGGATCCAGAAAGTTCTTTGAGTTCTCCATACAATTTTGTTACAGGTAGGGGAATGGTGTCTTCTAGTATCCTCAGAAAGTATACTGCTTTGTTTGAAATACTCACAATAGTTTTAATCATTTAGAGATTCTGATCTGAATAAAACTAACTTCATTCAAATAAAACCAAAAGGAAAAAATATTATGTCTTGGATTGAGTTCTTCTGTTCTCTCTCCTCCAGAGTCTTCTTCATATCTCCGCTGCCTGCCTCCCCATCTGGGTGTTCGGGACCAGGGCTTGTTTGCTGAAACTTTGAAGGTAAGGGATAAGGAATTGGTACTGGATATGCCCGTGTCTTGCCCTCAGACATTGAACAACTTGAAGAATAGTGTATAATAACACATCCTGTAAATGAGATTTTCATTTTAGGTAAACTAAGAACTACGTTTGTAAAAGAACTTGTACTCGGATGGATAATTAACCCATGTACCTGAGTTTTCCATTACTGTGTACAAACTACCTACAAACATGGTAATTTGACCACTAGTCTATTTGTTCATGGTTTTGCTCTCTGAACATGGATATGGTGGAATGTTTTTTGGGGGGGTTCCATTTATCATCTTTCAGTCTGTAAAAACTGAGGAGCTGATTGATATTAGAAAACTAAGATGTACTTATGCACACCTATAGGGATTATTTTTGACAATAAATCTACAAAGATAGCAACTGTTATGGTTTCTTATAATCTGTAGGGAGTCGTATACGTCAATAATCCCAGCTACTAGGTAGGCAGAAGTAACAGGATCATGGTTTGGAGTCAGTACAAGCAAAAAGACTAGCAAACCTTTCACTAAATCAAGCCAGATATAACAATGTCCACATGCAATCCTATGCAGTCTAGGCCAATGCGAGAGACCCTGTCTGAAAGACAACACTAAAAGCAAAGGATTTAGGGCATTGTCTCAAGCGGAAGAGTGACTGCTTGGCAGGCAAGGGGCTCTGAGTTCAGTCTCCACACTGAAGGGGAAAAAAAGGAAAATAAAAAAAACAAGAAATAGGAAAGGAAATGGATGGGTGAGGAAGCTAGTAATTAGACCATTTCTTCTTCCCTAGTTTCACAGGTGCAGTATTTCCACTGGGGTATCTTCTCTTCCTTGAAGATACTTGAGCATTGTATCCTCCCACCCACACCTGATAGCTGCATTCTACCTTATAAATCCCTGGTCTCAGTCCCACTCCCACTTTAGCCTCACCCAAACTAAACCGGAAGTCGATGTCAGTTGCTTGAGAACACTTTTCTTATTCAAGGTTTTATTCTTGGTATTTGGCAATAAATGATAAGCACATACCTGTAAAAGTATGACTAAATGCCAGTATCATCATTGAAAGTAAGATATAAAAATGACACTCCTTGCTAATGGAATGTCCATAACTATATAACAGAAGTCATTCAAAGGAGTCATTGTAATGAGTCATTACAATGAGATAATGGCAGTATTTGATAAAAATCCATTGCTTCTTAAATATATTTTCACTAAAGAGAAGCAGAAGATATCAGAATAAAATGCTTTAGTAAAGAAATGTGAAATAATAGTGTGACAATGCAAGTTTGTTCATTTGTTAAACCATTTCAGAATATATCAAACACCTAACAAAATCTTTTAAGGCAAGAATATTTTATCTAAGTTTATTTTAACCATACATGATCACAAACTAGTTGCTAATAAGATCACAAGCTAGTTGCTAATAAGCTGCTAAGTTACTACATAGATATCATGATACACAAATCAAGAAATGAGAAAATATTCTCAGAGAAAAAATATGTGGAAGAAATTTTGAGTGGCACTGTTTTTTGTTTGGTTGGGTTTTTTTAATTGTTGG